AGAGAGAGAGAGAGAGAGAGAGAGAGAGAGAGAGAGAGAGAGAGAGAGAGAGAGAGAGAGAGAGAGATTGCATTGGGCAGTTGCCTACACCATGAATGCATCACCCGTCATATCTGTTTTTGCGAGCAAAGCCGCTACAGGTCATCTAGTACTATATGTATCTCCTCTAGAGTGATGGTACCTGCTCAGGCCGATTGTAGCGCAGGAGCGCGTGAGAGAACACTGCCAGTGGAGGGAGCACACTACTAAGCGACTGAAAGCCTGCTGCGAGTGAGAGAGGACACTGCCAGTGGAGGGAGTGCACTACTAAATGAGTTAAAGCTTGTTGTGAGTAACAGAGAGAACACTGCCAGTAGAAGAGGTGCACTGCTAAGTGAGTGGGAGCTTGCTCCTAATGGGAGGGGATGCACCGCTAGTGGGAGAGCGTACCACTAGTGGAAGAGAGTATGCTGCTGTTTAGAGAGACAGCGCTGGAAAAGAGAGGGCGTCTATGCGCTGGATGCGGAAGTCAGTAAGAGAGAGAGAGGAAAATAAGATCCTGTAGTGAACTAGCTGATGAGAAAGAGAGGAAGGAAGCAAAGTGGGAGAAAGCACACAGCTGGTGGTGTGAACTAGTCCGAAATAGGCCTCCTGTCGTCTGTCGAGCCTGCCTTCGCTTAGGGCGGCCGACGCGGTTGCAAATAGGGGCCCAGTAGGGCTTATCGAGGCCTTATGCCTTGCGTTTGCTTCTAGAATGCAACTTTTGCCTTTGGGATGTGACTGTTTACCGGGTGCCTGTTGGACTTGACTCCTAAGGTACCCGACTGTGACTTTTCTGAAACTGACCAACTTGGCCTCCCTTGACCTGGGACCGTGACCCTGAAATTCGAATTTGGGGTCTGCATTGTGGAATGCCTTTCGAACATATTCTTGTCAAACACATTAAGAAACTGGGCCAATGGGGTAGCACATTCACATCATTGATGGGCCGAGCTCTAGCCATTGACACATCTATTTTTTCAATGATGTGGTATATAGCATCAATCTGGACAGTCCGGACGATACAATCAAGGAAGTTAACTGCAAAGCAAGAGCATACTGTGGTCAGGAGATCCTGACAAAGAGAACTGTATACCAAAGATAGCCTCGCATTACATCACAAGGAAACCAGTCAGAGGAGGTCTTGGTGTCATAGACCCCAAACAGGAAACCAAACCCTACAAGTTAAATGGATATTCAAACTACTGACTAAACCTGGTACGGTATGGAATAAACTGGCCTTGGATAGCATAAGGGGCCTAGCACCAACAGCCTCACCAGCAAACATGTCCGGTCTGTTCTGGGTAATGACCAAGGAATGGAGCCCAATACAGGGCGCAGATATCAACAAAGAGGAAGCGATCCCAAAGAAGCCAGGCCCCCCACACCATATTGGACTGCATTGCTACGGATATGGCGGGAAGTCATGCCGAAGAAGGTGGGTAGACCCAAATCCAAGGATGAGATATTGAGGCAACCCCTGTTTGGTAATCCGTGGGTGAGAGACAAAAGTGATCACCAGCTATCCCTTAACCCTAGATGAAGAAGATGGCTATTGTGGATCAAACACGGAGTTTGGAAAGTGAGCCATCTCTGGAACGAGGAGAAAAATGACTGGGTGACAGAACAGGAACTTGCCTCCCAGCTCACAGGATGTCACCGGCGAGACGAGAATCTAAAATCCATTATTAATTGCATCCCAGAAGGCTGGAAGGAGTTGTTGAGCGAAGCCTCAACCTGGAGATCTGGTGAATGGGGTGCGAGGGTGCAGGATATGTGGGCAATTTCTTTTCTCCCCTTTTGCCGAGTTCATGATATGTTTATGAACGTGCATAGCACTGTATACCTTTCAGCCACAAGACTGTGTATCTGTATCTTGAAGACGGCTGATAGTGCGCGTCCTGTCTTCAGTGATCCCTGTGTGGGTGGGTGCGCTGTGTCGACAGGTAGGCTGAACCCGGTCCGTGAAGCCTCTTGCCGGACGTCCTCCCTGGGCCCTATCCCCGACACCTCCCAACCCTTAAAAAAGAAAAAGAAAAAGAAAAAAAAAAGATAGTGTGATATCAGTAGAAAGATCAGAGAAGGAAATGAACACAGAAACAGACATAAAGGTGATGGAAACGGTATCACCTTGAAGACAGCTGCGATATCAATTTCTGGAGGCAACTGACTCTTCTGTGCATTCGATAGGACGACTACCTTGAAGAGGCTTTCAAAATGTGCAATCTACTCCCAAGGCTGTGTATCTGCTTATTGACGATGGCTGATGGTGTGATATCAGTAGAAAGATCAGAGAAGGAAATGAACCTGGAAACAGACATAAAGGTGATGGAAACGGTATCACCTTGAAAGACAGTTGATAGTGTGATATCAATATATGGAGGCAATCGGCTCATTTGTCTGATCTTCTGTGCGTTCGACAGGACAACTACCTTGAAGAAGCTTTCAAAATGCGCAATCTACTCCAAGAGTTTCTGCGATACAATGGCAACCGTAAACCGACAATTCTTGGAGTAAGGGAGCACGTCTTCACATCCGGGTGAGAGCCGATCACTGATGTTCATGTTTTTTTTTTTTTCATCTTCTGTTCCTTTTTCTTTTCTTTTTCTTTTTCACTTTCCCGCCCCCATGTGCTTTATGTTTCATTGACAACTGTATCTACTCATCTAAGGTCAATTCCTCCGTATTGCTGGATTGCCTCCTTTTCGGGAGAATCGACTGCTGGCATTGCAATTTGTGAGAGGCGGAGGGAGACGAGAAAGGATCCTTTTTCCCCTCTGTATTGTTAGACTTGTGTAGAGACAGTTCAGTGGGCAGAGAGTGTGCAGTTCTCTTTGGCGCATTGAAGGCTCATAAGTTGTTTGAGGAAAAGTTGAATTTGCTTGTTGCGTTGCTCAACTTATTAGTAATGCCACCCTCACACCGAGTTCGTTGTGTCAAGAACGTTGTAGTGTCTGGTTCATCCCAGCGTTTTCTAATGTCTTCTTTGATTAGTGCACTACTAATTGCAGAGTTTGGGGCCATTGTTACGCCGGTATTGGTTAAATCTGGGAACCCCCTTGTATAATGGCAAAGCGTCGGGGAGGCTTTGGAGCTACTATGGTTCAAAACGAGGCCGATAACACCTCTAGCTTTCCAGTTCTAGGGCAATGGGTGTCCCCCACGCACAGTAGAGACAAGGGCGGACTGTTATGGAATGAGAATGGGCTTTTGCTGACAATTGAGGGCTCGATCAGAGAAGAGTCGCTGAGTGTTTGGAGAAAAATGTGTATTGCTACTATTGCATATCCCAGATTGTTTGGCATTTAACAAATTATATATGTGCAATGAACCGGGATGAAATCCAGCACAGAAGCATTCGTTTGATGTCTGAGTCAAGACGGGTCCATCGAAACAGGTCTGTAGTGTCCAAGAGTTTGTCGAAAAGGCCCTCTCCGCAAGTGGTTAACCATATTAACCACGAGAAACACTGAAACCATGTTTTTTTGGCCAGATTTTTTTAGTTTCTGAAAAAGCAAATTTTGATGCTGAAATTTTGGGCCTCCGTTAACCTGCTCTCGAGGGAAGTCAACGTTCAGACCCTGCCTGCGACCAGTAGACCAAGAATCAAAGATTTTCCAGAAGTCAAACCCGGCCACAGATCACACAACAATCCAAAGGCTCAGCGACAGTTTGCAGAAGCATCCAAATGCACTGGGACAAGTCACACACTGGCCACAACAGAATCCTCTAGCCGTACAGGTGAATATCAGCCATCCGAGGAGGCAACCTGGGGTAGGCCAAGCTGAGTTTTTGGATTCATTTACTTCTGCCTGGTAGTTAATGCTGATACTCTTCCGTTGGAGGAGTCTTCTTGGCGCTAGGCGGTGGTGGAGCTGGTGCTGGTGTGATGGCTGCTTACAGAGGAAGGGATGCAGCCGCCTCCATATCTAAACGGAGGCGGACATAGCTGTAGTGGAGGCTGACTGCAGAGAAAGGGAGGCGGCTGGCTCGATAGCTAAACAGAGGTGGCTGTAGCTGTAGTGGGGATTGCATGCAGAGGAAGGAGCCTGCTGCCTTCAAAGCCATGAGTGCCCGCCAAAAACACAGACTGAGAACACTACTGATTTCTGGGATTTGTCACTGGAATGAATGCCTTGCTGTGATTCCCGCATTCTGCTGTGGTTCCAAGTCTGTGTGTGTGCGTGTCCGCTGGTTTGCATGCCTGTCTGAGTGCTTGCCAGTTGTGTGTGTGTGTGTGTGCCTACTGGTTTGCATGCCTGTCTGAGTGCTTGCCGGTTGGGTGTGTGTGTGACCCACAAGGGTACTTGTTGGTTGCAAGGCCCGCAGGGCCGGTACTTACCTGTGGCCGTGACTTTGAAGGGTTGCAGGGGGGGTAAACACACCGGTAGCGGGGGATAGGCCCACGGCACTTAGAGCAGCTGGGGAAAAACACTCAAGTAGCTGCCTCCCAGTATAGCGGACCAAGTCAACAGCGGCATAGCTGCTTGGGTTGTCTTTTGGACATCAGCGCAGCACTATAGCTGCCTCCCAGTAGTCCGCCATGGCCTATGCATGAGAGAGGAGGTTGAAGGAGGGAAGCCATAGCCATGGTGGACTTGTTGTTGTTGTTGTTGTTGTTGTGAGTTGAGTCAGCAGTAAGAGGGAACTTCGGACATTGATTCTGGTTCATCCATTCATTGTTATTATTATTATTGAGAGAAGAATAAGATTGGTGAAGAGAAGGAGGAAGGAGGAAGGTGGAGAGAGAAGGGGGAATTGCCATTGGTCTTGCGGGTGTACTTCTTCTTCTTCTTCTTCTTCTTCTTCTTCTTCTTCTTCTTCTTCTTTCTCTCTCTTCTGGTCCTTATCTCTTTGCAAGTGCTTTCATTTCTTTCGCAATTGGGTGGCATTGTCTTTCATTGTGAATTTGCACTTGGAAATGACCAGGATCGTAATAATTGGAATCGGAGCGGACTTACTTGCTGGCGAGAGGTGTTAGTCACCCTAACCCTAATTCCGAATTAGGTTAGGGCAACCTCATCTTGGATTAGGGTTGGGAAGTTAGGGTCAAGTGGGGCAGCGAGGTATGGGGATGCTGCCCCCACCTGGTTAGGTCATGTAGGGTCGACATTGGACCCATCCAGGTCGCTTGAGTGAATGTATGGGGTGGCGAGACACAAAGGAGGCGGATTGGAGTAAGCGAGAGGGAGTAGAGAGTGAGAGGTACTCGCACCTGGATTCTGGACTTCAGGAAGACATTGAGTGACTTTTGGGCTTCCCCTCAAGAGGGAGACTTGATCGGAGGCTGCCATATCTGCATCGGATTGCTGCAAGTTGCTACTTTGGTCTTCAGGCATCGACGGGGGATCCGGCTTTGCAACAGGGGTGTAGGAAGGCCCTCTTAGTCATGCTAGGACACTTCGTGTAGTGGTAGCTAGGGGTCAGGAGGACTTATATGAGAGGGGAGTGACGCGTTATCCATCTTTGGAGGCTGGGCCTCACAGGTAAGTGTCGTGTGACCTGGGTAAGCCTGTGGGAGGTTGCTTGGTACTTCATGGCCTGTTGGGGGTGTGCTGGGTTCTCTTCCTCTTCTCTGCGGTTTTGGTTGTGTGTGTGAGTTTGTGGATTGCTTTCTCACCTGATGGATGGATCCATCTACTGTAAATGACATATCTTTCTACGGTGCATTGTCTTTTCATTTCTGAACGGCTGTAGAAGTAAGTTCTGGCTTAAAGTTGTCTTTTCCTTTTCAGTACGGTAGAGGCAGTTTGGGACCGACTTGGTACCCCTATCACGTTGGTCCTGGTTCACGGCCTACTTGGGACCCCTCGGGACCCAATGGGACCAGGCCCAACGGGACAGGACCTTTTGGGCCGAAATCTGTTGCCGTCAGTGCATTTCTTGCTGTGCTGAACCTGGGGGGGACATACGGACAGCAAGGGCATTCCTTTCAAGGGGATATTGATTGGCCTTACCGCATGTTAGCACATACTGCCCCGCGTCTGACTCGGCGACCATCTGCACCCCTCGAAATCTCCATTGCTGCAGATTAGTCTTCTTCGTCTGATTTAATGTGATGCATGTCCCCTGTCAGGTTAGACAAGAGGGGATCTCCAGCTGATCTGATCGGGCCCGTTCTATAAATCAGACCTCTCTGCTGTTTTTTTTATATATATATATTTTTTTTTCTTCTGCTGCGTGCCACATTTTAAGTCCAAATGATTCGCCGCTCCGGCTAGGAGTCCTACCTTCTTCTCTGAGTGGTTTTCAGTTTGTTTCTTTCATCTGAACTATCTATGTCCGGTATCGAGACGCGTGCGCAGAGAGTGAAAAGAGAAGAAAGGGAGAGAGAAGGTGTTTTGTTTGAGAGTGCGAGGAGGGGCAAGAGGAGTGTTCGTCCAAACGTCAGGGGAGAGCGGACCGCTCTTGAGAGACCTACAGATGCCCCTTCCTCCGGCATGGCAAACATCACATCTGCCCAATGGCAGGCCATGCTGGATGGACGAGAGCCAGAAACCATTCTTTCAAAAACTGGATGATGATGCCGTGCAGAGGGAAAAGGAGGCAGCGGCAGCAGCTAGAGCCGCCAACATTGCTGATCAGGTGGCTCTCCTTCGGATCCCGGAAGCCAATGCTGACCGGTTCCAGGAGGAACTAGCTGCTGCTGTAGCAGCCTTGGTTCGACCGTGGACCTTGTAAAACCTTAAGTCTCGTATGACAGCACTTGAGCAGCGGAACGAAGAGCTGCAGGCTAAGGTAATTAGCCTTGAACAGTTCCAGCTGTCCGCCCCCCGCCCTCCTAACCCTCGATCTGCTGTAATCCCAGTCTCTCAATCAAACACAACCCTCATAGTTAGATCAAGCGGAACTGTGGCAAGCGCAGGGAGCGGCGCCAGCTCCTCGAGCGGCAGCACTGGCAGTTCTGCGCTGGTCATGGTCCCAAATGCAGGGACTTCAGCCCAAAACGCCGCAGTCCTTACTGGCGTTCAGTACAGCGGTCCCCTGGTGGACAAGCGGGCGGCCACGCTGCCGTCCAAGTACGACGGGAAGGCGGATATTACCTCTTGGATCAGTTCCATGCGGTCATACTTCGAGGTCATGCGGACACCGCAAGAGGACCGGAGTATGATCATGGGGACTAATACCAAGCTCGCCGTACGGAACCACATCGAGCTCCAAGCTGTTGCTGCAGGCTATGAACGCATAGAGTTGACTGAATGGCTGAAGGTCACCCTTGTCCGCGCCCTTGAGGATCTCCTCCTTGACCGGTACCAAGATAAACATGCTGCGCTCAAGGCTAGGCTGAAGCTTGAGGCCCTCAAGGGCCAAACATGGAGGTCATCCATGCAGGCTTTGGAACAGCACTTGACTGGTCTATTCACCACTCCGGATCTGGGAATGACTGACTTATCTTGCATGGATGTAGTCATGGGAGTGGCCCCTAAAGAATACCTCTCCCTGCTAGCACTCAAAGACCATGCCACTTGGAGAGAGCTCATGAAGGATCTAGTGAACCTAGAGGCCAAGGACCTTGCCAGGCGCAAGAAGGCGCCCGCT